GGTTCATTAGTTCAAGCCCCACATCGGGCTCTATGCTGATAGCTCAGAGCCTGGAGCCTGCTTCAGATTCTGTATCTCCCTCTGTCTCTCTCCTGCCCTGATCACACTCTTTCTCTCTCTCTCTCTCTCCTTCTCAAAAATAAATAAACATTCAAAAAAAATTTTTTAATTTAAAAATAGAATTACCATATAATCCAGCAATTCCACTGCTGGGTATTTATCCAAAGAAAACAAAAACACTAATTCAAAAAGATTTAGGCACATCTATGTTTCTTGCAGCATTATTTACAATAACTAAATTATGGAAGCAGCCCAAGTTTCCATTGGTTGATGAATGGATGAAGAAGATGTAGGGTGTGTGTGTGTGTGTGTGTGTGTGTGTGTGTGTGTAATAGAATATTACTCAGCCATGAAAAAAGAATGAAATCTTGCCATTTGCAATAATATGGATGGACCTAGAGGGTATAGTGCTAAGTGAAATAAGTCAATCAAAGATAAGTACTATATGATTTCACTCATATGTGGAATTCAAGAAACAAAACAAATGAACAAAGAAAAGGACAAATTAAAAAAACAGACTTTTAAATACAGAAAACAAACTGGTGGTTGCCAGAAGGGAGGTGGGTGGGGTTACAGGTGAAATAGGTGATGGGGATTAAGAGTACATTTATGATAAGTACCGAGGAATGTACAGAATTGTTGAATCATGTTGCACACCTGAAACTAATATCACACTGTTTGTTAATTACACTTGAATTAAAAACTTTAAAAGAGGGAGTTTGAGCTTGAAAAGAGACAAATATGAAAGACACTGAGGGAAATGACCCAATAGAAAATCATTGGTAAGCAGTAGCAGACAACCTAAAAAGCAAATGTTGCCTTTAGATGCTTCTTTAAAGTATCAGCTTATTATAGTGGAGATGAGAACAAGTCTCAACCTCCTTGTCTTTTTGAAAGACATTCTTGAATACTCCATGAAAGTAACATGCTCGCTGCCAGTTATTCCTATACTGGAAGAAAATCCTGGTGTTGTTTGTCAATTAAGAAGATAAGTTTTGGGGCACCCGGGTGGCTCAGTCAGTGAAGCGTCCGACTCTTGGTTTCTGCTCAGGTCATGTGTGATCTCAGGGTTTGTGGGTTCGAGCCCCACATTGGGCTCTGTGCTGACAGCACAGAGACTGCTTGGGATTCTCTCTCTCTCTCTCTCTCTCTGTCCCTCCGACACTCTTGCTCTGTCTCTCAAAATAAATAAAAAATAAACATTAAAAAACAATAATAAATAAATAAATGAATAAATAAAAAGAAGATAAGTTTTGACTGAAACTAATACAACAAACCACTCTCGGTGCCTCTCTTTTGTTATTTTAAAATGGTGAGAATAGTACCCACCTCATTGGGCTGTTGAAAACTTAAATGAGTAAATTCTTGAAAAGAAATTAAAAGGGTGTCTGACATGCAGTAAGCTCTCCATAAACATCAACTAGCATCAACAACCACAGTAGTGAGATGCAGTAGTTCTATAATATATAATAGCAGTGAGAGCATTAGTTATCATAGCAGTACTAGAGGTGGGAGTCATAGTAAGTAGTACTTGTTATTGTCAATAGTAGCCAGCAGCAAAGCTCTGTGCTGTAACTACGACCAAATCTGTCCTGGAACGAAGAGTCAGTCAAGTTGTACAAATCTCCACATAACGTTATTATTGGGCACAAAAAAAAATTTAATACCTCATACTTACGGGTCTGAAAATAACCTGTTTCTTTGTCTGGAAGTTGGATGAAAAGCAAAGATGGTGGTGAAACCACATTCCATATTTACGGGTAAGCCCAAGAAAGGCCAAGGTACATCTACTTTCTTGAAGTGATGAGAAATCTATCAAGGAATCTCCAGGCCTAGGAACAGTGCCAGGGAGTCTGCACTCTGAGGGCCTGGGAACAACCCTGCCTGCCAGGAATGCTGTGTTAGTTAAAGACCTTGGCTGAGCCAGCTCTTGGCTAAGCTACCAAAAGGAAGAAGGAAATTGAGTCTCCAAGGCCATCTCTCATCACCTGACTAAATATTTTGAGCTCAGGATTTAAATATTTTCCTTTCTTTTTTCTTTTAAGTTTATTTATTTTGAGAGAGAGCAAGAGTTACGAGCAGAGGAGGGGCAGAAAGAGGGGAGTGAATCCCAAGCAGACACGGGGCTCGAACTCATGAACCCATGAAAGCACGACCTGAGCAGAAATCAAGAGTCTAATGCTTAACCGACTGAGCCACCCAGGCGCCCCTTAAATCTTTTTCTTCATGAAGGAAATGAATGGACACAAAAAGACTAAAAGATATGATAAAGCCTACAAATTGGCCTGAAAAACCGTGAATGATTTTACTGCCCACCAGCGGAAGGAAGTTTGAGAGGTGGATGAGGAGAGCTGGCTGTGATAAATGATGAACTGGTGAGGCTTTTGGTTCCATTGTGCGGGTTACATACTGCAGCATGAACGCAAACTGTAACAAACTGCATTTTCAATGAAGAAATGGAAATACATTTACAGTGAGGGTATCATCGAATATCCTCAGTTATGTGTCTTCACTGAAAATCTATTTCTCTGCAACCATATAAGAGACTGACTGGGTAACACACAGACCTTTCTGCCTGTAATGTGATACAAGCGATCTCACTTCAGAAGGAAGATACTATATTGAAATGCCCACCAGCCTGACAATATCCTAGATCCTTGACAAAGCTCAGGAGGCGTAAAGAAACATTTTCAAGCATCTCCGCGGATGAGTGTGGCTCATGGAAATATTGTAGCATGAAGTCAGAGTCAGAGAAACTGCCTAGATTCCCTGCTTAATTGTGGTTTCTCGTCTCCTTGTTCAGATCCACCTAATTCTCGGAGGTGAATAAACTCAGTGAATAGCATCTTGCCTAACAACCAAGGAGAAGGTTGGAAGCTATTTCTCTCTGATATTGGTGGTGGCATGGCTCCAGATGACAGCACCAGACACAGAGGGATGAGTTCACTCCCTGTGCTACAAGGAGTACTTCAGTGGAAAAGTTTGAGGAACATTATCTTAATTTATCTCTCACTGCCAACAAAAATTTGGCAACAGATACAGAAATATCTCTCAAAATATCTCATATTCTTCCATATCCTTAGTTCAGTTTTCACCATTGATTGCTCCAAGGAGTGCTGTAATTTCCTCCCTATCTGGACTTATCCTGCCAGTGGTTAAGGTGCTGCTAAATGCTATTTTGAAAGCCTCCACATTACGGCGGTTTAATGACAGACAGATACTTCTGTGTTTCTGTTCAGTGGTGACCTTCCTCAAAGTGATTTCAGGACCTGTGCTCCTTTGTTCTTGTGATTCTGCAATACTTTCAGGCAGGAACTGGGAGATTTTTTTTCTCTCTGTAGAGTGCCAAATAGCAAATATGTTAGACTTCACAGGGCCGTATCGTCTCTGTCACAACTGCTCAACGCTGCCACCATAGCCAAAAGCAGTCATAGACATACCCAAGTGGCCGTGACTGTGTTTCAACAGGACTTCATGTATGAGTACTGAAATTTGAATTTCATGTGATTTTTACCTGTCATGAAATCTTTTGATTTCTTTCCCCAACCATTTAAAATATTTATTTTCCTTTCCAAGATTTTACCTAAATTTAGGTTAGTTAACATATACTGTAGTTGTGGTTTCAGGAGGAGAGTTTAGTGATTCATCACTTGTATATAACACCCAGTGTTCATCCCCACAAGTGCCCTCCTTAATACCCATCACCTATTAACTCATCCCCCCACCCGCCTCCCCTCCAGCAACCCTCAGTTTGTTCTCTATAGTTAAGAGTCTCTTATGGTTTGCCTCCCTCTCTGTTTTTATCTTATTTTATTTTTCCTTCCCTTGCCTTATGTTCATCTGTTTTGTTTCTTAAATTCCACATATGAATGAAATCATATGGTATTTGTCTTTCTGTGACTGACTTATTTCACTTAGCATAATACACTCTAGTTCCATCCACATCATTGCAAATGGCAAGATTCTATTCTTTTTGATAGCTGAGTAATATTCTGTTGTGTATATATAAACCTCATCTTCTTTGCCCATTCATCAGTTGATGGACATTTGGGCTCTCCATAATTCAGCTATTGTTAATGCTGCTGTAACACATTGGGTTGTATGTGCCCTTTCAAATCAGTATTTTTGTATCCTTTGGATAAATACTTAGTGCAATTGCAGGGTCATAGAGTACGTAGTTCTATCTTTAACTTTCTGAGGAACCTCCACACTGTTTTCCAGAGTGGCTACCCTAGTTTGCACCAACAGTGCAACAGTGTAGGAGGGTTCCCCTTTCCCTGCATCCTCACCAACCTCCATTGTTTCCTGAGTTGTTAATGTTAGCCATTCTGACAGGTGTGAAGTGGTATCTCATTGTGATTTTGATTTGTATTTCCCTGATGATGAGTGATGGTGAGCATTTTTTCATGAGTCTGTTCACCATTTGTATGTCTTCTTTGGAGAAGTGTCTGTTCATGTCTTCTGCCCATTTCTTAACCTGCTTGTTGATTAGGTGTTGAGTTTAATCAATTCTTTATAGATTTTGGATACTAGCCCTTTATCTGGTATGTCATTTGCAAATATCTTCTCCCATTCCATAGATTGGCTTTTAGTTTTATTGATTGTTTCCTTCACTGTAAAGAAGTTTTTTATCTTGATGAAGTCATAATAGATAATTTTTGCTTTTGTTTCCCTTGCTTCCAGAGACATGCCTAGTAAAAAGTTGCCACAGCTGAGGTCAAAGAGGTTGTTGCCTGTATTCTCCTCTAGGATTTTGATGGTTTCCTGTCTCACATTCTAAAACCATTCTAGTTAAAGGGTTATACAAAAATAGGTAGCAGGCTAGATTTTGCCTGTAGGTCACAGTTTGGTGAGTCTTGTATTGGACTGATGATTCAAGCTACTTAGAGTTGTGTTGTTTTAGCAACTGGACATGAAGTGTTTGCTTTTCTTTTTAACAGGCTCTGGAAATATGGCGGTGTCACATCCCATTGCTGCCAGCACCCCTGAAGGAAGCAATTATGGGGCAATAGGTATTGCCTACTATGAGTCCATTCATTGAAGTATTTCTTAATTCTCCAGAGAATAGGATAAAAAGGGCCTTCCAGCCACTATTAACTGTGTGAGTGGGCAAGGCAGTCATCGTCTAAGATTGTCTTCTCTTTATAAGAGAAATTGTTTGGAAGATCTGGAAGGCTCCTTCCAGCTCCAACCTTCTCTAGTTTGTTATTCTGTGCTAGCCACACTTGAGCAGAATTCCCTACCATGGTTGCCGTCAACTCCCAAAGTCCGTGTGGGGATGTTTTCATACCCGGCCTGAGTTTAGGGCATGAACAGTATGTCAGAGCCGGTGTCAGGGAGCCCGAAATCAATTGACGAGCTCTTTCATTCTCAGGTTTCAGTGGAGTAAGGGCGATCAGAAGACTAAGGCTGTGCTGCAGGTGAACATGGCTGTAGCCTGACAATCGTTCATTTTGGCTAACTTCATAATTGAACCTAGTCATTCACATGGCAACCCCTCAGTGTTCATTGCGTGGCCTGAAAGAGACAGAATTCCTGTGGGTCTGTGAATGGTTTGCTTAATATGTCAGGGAGATGGGCTGGAGTCCTTCTTCCTACTCTGGTGTACTGTAACTTTGAGAAGCATGTGGGTTTCATGCAGGCTACTTATTTCTAGCTCTGCAAGAACAGGATTTTTTTTTTTTTTTAACTAACTGAACAGAAGCAATAAAACAGAAGGTAGGCTCAGCTCATGTGCTCATCAAGCTGCACAAATTCCCATCTGCTCTGGGAAACATTCATGAGAACACAAGGATTCTTCTTCCTGAGAGTGTTGTTCTCATTATATAATCATAGATGCGGCATGTGGGGGGTTTCAGTGTACAAATACTTTACCCACGAGCAATGTATAGCTGCTGGATATGCGTGTGCTTACACGGGTCTGTGGTCGATGCTATACATAACTGTGCATGTGTATGTTTATATATTTATGTTCATATTGTAAAATATGAAACATGACATATAAGCATAATCTTATTTTTTGCATCCAAGTAGTTAACAGAGCAGTTGCCTTTATGTTCTTAATATGCATTCAGCCCTAGAAATAGACAATTTAAATATAAAAATAGGAGAAGCGGCAAAGTAGAAGTCCATTGAGGAGGAATTAAGAGAAAGAACATGTGTTGTGGGTAAGGAGTTCGTTTTTACCAACACAACATCTTCAAGAATGAGTCAGCACTGCTTTTTGCAGAGAGGGATGGACTGCATGGGTTCTTCCTAGCTTTGGAAGGCAGATGAGTTTTCTCTCTTTCAGAGGAGTCAAGCTCCAGTCCTGGCAGGCAGATGTCCTCCTCTGATGGTGGGCAGCCATGCCAGTCGGACACGGACAGCTCTGTGGAGGAGAGTGACTTCGACACCATGCCAGACATTGAGAGTGATAAGAACATCATCCGGACCAAGGTACCTCTGCCTGGCCGTACTCTTGGCAAGGGCAGAATGTTCAACAGTCAAATACACCTTCAGCAAAGGTCTCAGTTTCCTTTATTTTTTCCCTTCAAGGGAAACCATATTTCCCTGAGGGCTTTTTAGATAAAATATAACTACAGACTAAAAGCAATACCCTGCTAATCAGCATTTCTTTCTGGAGGAAGAAGGTGAGAGAATTAAGGAGAGCAGCGCATTAAAACACTCAGGGTCTGGGGGCACCTGGCTGGCTCAGTCAGTAATTCATGTGACTCTTGATCTCTGGATTGTAAGTTCAAGCCCCACGTTGGATGTAGAGATCACTTAAATAAATAAAACTTAAAAAAAAAATACTCAGGGTCTGAAGTGGATCCACCAGATGAAAGAAAAGATTCATGAGGGGTATACCTGGGAAAACTCTCTGTTTCTGTACCTATCATCCCTCAGGAATAAAGCTCATTTCCTTTTGGCATATATTTATTATATTGTGTTGTATCCAGTAAGGGATATGAAAGTGGACTGCACAGTTTCAATCGTATAATTCAAGAACCACACAGTGGACATCTCCAAAAATGGCAAAACCAGTTCCTGAGATGTAAGAAGCAGTTGAGACTCCCAATAGGTTTTTCTATATCAGCCAATTCTTACTATTTCAGAGAAAATACTAGGGTGTGTATTAGGGTATTCTGGGAAAAACAAAATTGAAAGAAAAGTTTATTAAATAATTTTAATCCCTAGCAATGGATTGGATTGAGAATTTATAAAGCTTTCCTTTGTGTGTCTTCCACAAAAAAAAAAAAAAAAAAAAAGCCAAGTACATGTTTGCATTCTCTTTTTATTTGATATTTTAGATGTTCCTTTACCTGTCAGATCTGTCCAGGAAGGACCGGAGGATTGTCAGCAAAAAATATAAAATTTATTTCTGGTGAGTAGGTGGCCACTAGGACCATGGTTCCCTTAAGTAAAATGAAAATTTTCTTAGTAAAAGCCATGATCACTTATGGCACACCTTTCAGTTTAATGAGGCAAAGATATAGATGCTTCAAGGATTCATGCCACATTCTATAAGAAAAACAAAAATAAACTACAAAAAGCAGCCAGCCCTAAATTAAATACATAAAAGTAAAAATAAGAATGGTAGTAAAGTGGGGGGATGGGCATTAAGGAGGACACTTGTTGGGATAAGTGTTATATGTAATATGTTATATTGATGGGATGGGTGTTATATGTAAGTGATGTAAGTGATGAATCACTAAATTTCACTCCTGAAATCATTATTACACCATATGTTAACTAACTTGCATTTAAATAAAATTTTTAAGTTAAAAATAATAAAATAAAAAACATGAAAAAAAAGTGTTCATAGTGATTAAAAAGAATCATAAGAATAGTAGTAGAATCCCATATGTTTAGGGAACACACTCAATCCGTTTCCAGAAAGGCAACCTAACAATAACATGTCACTATCTTCCATGGGACACGCTAAACTGAAGCCATTCCCTCTTCTCACCCAGACTTGCTCTTACAAAAGCCAATGATTTCAGGGACTAAATGTCTACAGCGTCTCAGAGTAGCTGCGAACCACACTGAAAGGAAATGATACCACAGCCAGTGCTAAATAGACCTTGATGCAGCCTCTCTCCAAGCCAAGAGGCTGAGCTGCCTAGCAGGGGACCCCTCTCCCCTCAGAAATCCCAGGCTGATGCTGTGATAGCTCTTTCCATTTTTTTCTCTTGAAGGACGCCCTTTTACTTGGTTACAGGTATTCGAGGGAAGCAAGGGACAGTGGGGGCCGCATGGAATTTCATAGTGGGACCATCATTTTGGAAGTAAGAGTTATGTAAGAGAGCCACATCCTTTCATGTGATCCATCTCCCGTTACTTGCGCTCTGGTCACTTTTAATCGAAAACATCTAACATCTAATCTAAAACAACCTAAGAAATAGGCCCTCATCAATAATTTGGTTAAAACAGAAGCAGGTATCACAGTTTTACCAATGTTAGTAGGAGTGGGAGGCTGAAGAAATGGGAACTGCATAATCAGTTTCTGATTACTTTTGCAAGTTAATTAGAGAGTTACGGAGTGGAAGGATTCTTATGTTAAAAAATTGAGCAAAAATTCCATTGTTAATTTGGAAATAACAATTTCCGGTTCTTTCTGGCTGCTTAGGAACATCATCACCATTGCTGTGTTTTATGCACTGCCTGTGATCCAGTTGGTCATCACCTACCAGACAGTGAGTACTGCCCAGAACCCCGGAATCCCAGCTTTTGTGCTGCAGGGAGGGATCTTTGCTATGACTTACAGAGAAAAGTCTATATAACTTGATCTCAGTCCAAGAATTAACTTCCGATTTTGTCTTCAAATTAGACATCGCCATTGCTTCATCTTTGATGAATCTTTAAATCTAGTTCCCAATTGCTTTATCACAGAGGGGCCTGGGACCTCGTATTATTTTGTCTACCAATCTAAAGTCATTACCGTAAGCTCATTCAGTCATAATATCTATCAACTATATCTGTTATTTACCAGTCTGAACTTCTGATTATCAAGGCGTAATGAGCAGAGTAAAGTTCCAGTCAAAACAAAGAAACCTGGTATTTAATTTAGCCTGTGCCCTCTCATTGAGGGTACTTTTTATAAAACTACAAACAGCTTCTTAAAAAAAGGTAATAAGTTTTTAAAAAGCTAATAAGATAATAAAATTGAGAAAATATAAAATAAGAACTAAAATAGAGTAAAAACAAATAAACAAAGATAATAATTAAAACACCTTGAGAATCCCCATTGCGCCTTCATAGAACCTTGGGTCCAGATCACATAATGACCTTCTCTAGCATTTATTTTATGCAAGAAAGCCTACGTAGAAAGCACAAGGGGCTGATGGTGTTTCTAATGCAGTGATTCCCACACTTTGCTGTGCATGAAAATCACCTGAGGAGCTTTGAAATCCTGGTGTCCAGGCTGTACCCTACACCAAATTAGGTCCAAGTCCCTGAGAGTAGAACCAAGCATCAGTACTGATTAGACCCCCAGTGATTCTAATGTACAGATTTCTAAGTTTGAAAGCCATTGGTCTAATAATTTGGCCAGTTTCCTACTCACTATGTGATGAGGACAAGGACTTTTATGAGGTTTGGGCACCACTGCTTATAATCTCCATACTCTCTTACTACTCCAGGGCCCTGTCAGAAGATACCACTGTGCTATGGTCTAGGAAGGTTCTTAATGATAGAGATGGTGAGCAAAATGGAAAACTGAACACATGCTTCCTCCTGTCCACATGCCCTGTGGTTATCACTCCTACATAGAGAATGGGATAGCTCCACACCCTCCCAACATGCATCCAGAAAATAGAACATATCATGACGGTCCTAGTTAGCCTGTGCTGTGTAAAGGCAGCAGACAATGACCCATCCCCTGCTGAGAAGGAACACTGGTTATATGGTAAATCACTGTGAGCACTGCCTGCCTTTTGTGGTTTCAGGGTGGGCTCAGTAGATGGAGAAAAACTGCATCTGCTCCTCTCGCTCTTGATTTTGCAGGTGGTGAATGTCACAGGCAATCAGGACATCTGCTACTACAACTTCCTCTGTGCTCACCCATTGGGCGTCCTGAGGTGAGCCCTGGCCTCTGGTTGCCAATGAGACATTTAGAGATTCCTTTCTGTGAGATGTGATTTCAGTTTTTAAAAATACTAAACACTGGGGCGCCTGGGTGGCACAGTCTGTTAATCGTTCGACTCTTGGTTTCAGCACAGGTCATGATCTCACAGTTCAGGAGTTCAAGCCCCCTGTCAGGCTCTGCGCTGACAGCTGCAGGGTCTGCTTGGGATTCTCTGGCTCCCTCTCTCTCTCTGCCCCTCCCCCACTTGCTCTCTATCTCTCTCTCTCAAAATAAATAAATAAACATTAAAAAAAAATACTAAAAACAACTATGGATTACTACCCCAGTCAAGGGCAAGGAGGATGAAATCAAAAAGTTGAGACCAGATATCTTCCTTTCATTCCTGTATAGGGGCCTCAGGAAACATTCCTAAGAAGAAGACAGGGACATTTTTGAAAACATCAGGTCCTAGCTGTGACGACACTCATCCACGGGCATGAGCTGCTCATATGTTAATCCACTGAACAACCTCATAAGATAGGTAGGATTAGCATCACTTCCATCTTCAGATGAAGACACTAAGGCTTACAAAGGAACTTGCAGAAGGTCCCTCAACTATTAGTGATGCCAGGAACTGAACCCAGGCCTGCTGCCTCCAAGGCCATGGTCTAGCCACCAGAACATAGTGAAGTGGAAAGAACAGACTTCTTGTTCCAGAACTGAACCAGCCTCAGTTTCCTGAAATAAAGCAACTGACCATGACCGGCTGACACGTCACTATTACAGAGCTGAATATTGACACACATAGCATGGGTCCATCTATGAGAATTCCCTCTCACGGTGTAGCTGAAACACTTGGCCAAACTGCCCATCTTTGGAGCAGCTCTGTTTCCTGGGATTCATTCCATGCCAGTGTCGTCAGGATAAGAGAAGATTGGGTGGGTGTTGGGGAAGCCACACAGGCATCCCAGGGAGGAAATGGGCATGTGATCACAGGTTAGGCATTCTAAATTAAAGGAGTAAGGTTAAAGATGATCTCTGATGATTTGCTAGTCCTGAAATCTTATGAAAAGTCTAGGTAGAAAACGTGGAGTGCTGAGTATACTCACTCATTCAAGCATTCATTCATTCTCTGAATATCTTGGATCACCTCGACTCTCTCATTGTTTCCTTCTCCTCCTTTAGTGCCTTCAACAACATTCTCAGTAACCTGGGCCATGTGCTCCTGGGCTTCCTCTTCCTGCTGATAGTCTTACGCCGAGACATTCTCCATCGCAGAGCCCTAGAAGCCAAGGACATCTTTGCCATGGTGAGGAGAGGGAGGGTAAATTGGATGTGGGAGCTAGGAAGGGTCATGGTTCCAAGAAGGATCTGCAAAGGGGAGGGACATCTGGCTTGATGGTGTGGTGATGGGTTATGTGTAATGAACAACAGGAGGCCAGAAGCTTGGATTTCCAGATCCTGTGGTTCTGTCACTGATTGGTGTCTTTCCATTGACAACACTTTCTCCTTTTTCAGGATTATGGGATTCCTAAACACTTTGGTGTTTTCTATGCTATGGGCATCGCGTTGATGATGGAAGGAGTGCTCAGTGCTTGTTACCATGTCTGTCCTAATTACTCCAACTTCCAATTTGGTAATTAGAATTTACATCAACCACACAAATTTAAGTTATGGGAGTCCGGTCCTGGGACCCTCCACAAAATACCAAGGTCATGCATGCAAGAATTAAATATTTTATGTGAGCTAAAGTGATTCAAGGGCACTTCCCCACAGGGTGTGGTTTCTACATGTTGTACCATTTTTTCTCTCTGACCACTTTCAGACTAGAAAACACTCAGCAGTGAATGATGATCCCATGGCTAGATTTGCAGGTGGGCAATGGGCTAAGTATTAGGCAGCAGGGCAGATAGAATTCAACAGACACCTGGAAAGTTTCCTCAGTATAATTTGGCCTAACTTAGTAATTAGACTGCTTTGGGTCGAAAATAATAGAAAGCCCAATTCAACTGGATTAAATAATAAGGACAATTATCAGCTCACCTTCTGAAAGTCCAAAGGTGGAAAGGGATTGCAGTTGATTTATCTGGTGGCCCTGGCTCCAATTCTCCATAATCCCTTGGGTTATGCCGAGCCTGCAGGCTGATTTTATCCTCAGGCTATCAGGAAACTCATGATGGCAAAAATAGCTACAGCGAGTCCTGGCTTCCTGTCTCTATCTACTTCATGATGTCTGGTGGTTGCAGCAAGCTGGTTTCCACGAGCCTTCATTTAAGAGCAAGGAAACTTCTGGGGCCCCTGGGTGGCTCAGTCGGTTGAGCGTCTGACTTCCGCTCAGGTCATGATCTCACGGTCCGTGAGTTTGAGCCCCGAGTCGGGCTCTGTGCTGACAGCTCAGAGCCTGGAGCCTGCTTCGGATTCTGTGTCTCCCTCTCTCTCTGCCCCACAGAGCCTAGAGCCTGCTTCGGATTCTATGTCTCCCTCTCTCTCTGCCCCTTCCCTGCTCATGCTCTGTCTCTCTCTGTCTCAAAAATAAATAAAAACATTTAAAAAATTAAAAAAAAAAAACAAACAAAAGAGCAAGGAAACTTCTTTGCGAACCCCCTCCCCCCCCAGATAACATTCTTCCACGCCTCAATAGTTTAAATAGTCATGAGCCATTCCAGAATTATTCTCCAGGTGCTGGTTAGCTCAAGCCTGGGTTGGGACATCAATCATGGTGGCAAAGGAGTCAGATCACCTTTTAGACCAGTGAGAACCATCCAACGCACCACAGGTGGTGGGTTAGCTTTGCTGAAACCAGTAGGCTAAAAAGGCATGCATTTCTGAATTGAAAATGGGGCTGAGGCAGTTGAGTTACTAACATGCTGTCAGGAAGGAGAAAGGTGAGAACGGATGCCAGTAGTAGTGACCTCCACACTCAAGGAGAAGAATTTTAAAAAGTCATTTTTATCTTTGTACTCTAGCCTCTGTGGGCCCAGAACACCACAGAAATTCTCTGCCACATTTAATTTTTTAATTTAGAAACACTTTTAACAGAGAAAACTACAGAGAACAATATCATTCACCACTCAGAGTGAACAAATGCCAACATTTAAAAATACCTGCCTTAAATCTACCTTTTAAGAAATAACATGTTGTGGGGCGCCTGGCTAGCTCAGTCAGTACAGCATGCAACGCTTGATGTCAGGGTCGTGAGTTCAAGCCCTGTGTTGTGCATGGAGATTACTTAATTAAAAAGAAGAAGAAGAAGAAGAAGAAGAAGAAGAAGAAGAAGAAAGAAAATGTGACAAAGTTGAGTCCTTTGAACTGTTTTCCAAACTTATTCCCCTCTTCCGTCCTCAGAGGCAACAGCTTGACTAATTTGATATTTTATCAGTCCAGTTTTTATAATTTTACTACATTTGTAGTAAATTAATATTTACCTATCAAACTATGTTCTGCAACGTTTTTTTGTCCAACAATGTTTTCAAGATTTATGAATATTGAATCAAAGGCATCCAGTTCTTTCATTTTTAAGGACTGTCATCTTCTGTAATAAAAATATACTACATTTGTCAATTCCTCTACTGAACAACATTTAGATGTTGCCAATATGTTGCTATTGTAGACAGTGCTTCAGTGAACACCCTTACATACTTCTCTTTGTGCACATGTGAGAGAGGTTCCCTGGGACACCTAGAAGTAGAATGTTGGAGTCACCTGGACCAGTCACCATCTTACCAAGAACTTCCAAGTTTCTCCAGAGTGTTGATTCCTACTCCCACTAGCTGCCTGAGAGTTCCCATTTCCCTATATCATCACTAATATGTTACCATCAGACATTGAAATGTTTTGCTACACTCTTGAGTAATATGGGACATTGCCTTGTTGTTCCAGTTTGCATTTCCATCACTGTTGTACAACTAAGCCACATTTAATTTCTAGCTAGTTTCCATCCCTAGGCTGTAAAGCTATATATGAGCAATCAATTATATGAGCTATATATTGAACAATCAATGTGGTTATGTTTCAGGACGCGGATAAGGACCTTCCACACCCACCTAGCATTCTTTCCATGGTCACAGTGCCCTAACCGTCACCAGTATGGACTCTTGCTGTTGCTGTTGAACACCAGCATTTAAACGCAAATACCCCTCCAAGCGGGGATAGTCAATTATTTATCCTATCATCAGATACTTTTCTTCTGTGAGTGGAGTATGTGGGGTCTGGCCAGAGAATGTGCCTGTGGAGGCTGCCATGTTGGAGGTCTCCACACAAACTGAGGGCAGCAAATATTCTAGGGCCTGAAGGCAGGGGGTTTTTCAAGACTAAAGAGAAATTGTCTGTCACCTACTGGATCCTGATTGTTTTGGCTCCCCCTGTGCGCCCTCAGACACCTCCTTCATGTACATGATCGCCGGCCTCTGCATGCTGAAGCTCTACCAGACCCGCCACCCAGACATCAATGCCAGCGCCTATGCTGCCTACGCCTCCTTTGCGGTGGTCATCACGCTCACTGTCCTCGGAGTGGTGCGTCCCTCCCCGTGGCCTTCAGCCCGGCTTTCCAAACATACCCCCTTGGGAGCTTTTTTGTTTTTTTGTTTTTTGTTTTGTTTTGTTTTGTTTTGTTTTGTTTTGTTGCTGTTTGTTTGGTGGACCTCAGGGGAACAGGTTTGAATTAATTACAATCCTTGGTTCCTGCCACATGGCCATCATGAGTCAATTCATGGCATTTTATTCAGTTACTTAGCTATTTACCTCTAATAATGTAATAGGCACCTGCAAAACTACCACCCCTGGAGAGTTCCACTGTAAAGCTGGGACCTCACTCATGTGAGAATGGAATAGAGATGTTCAAGCTGATGGGAGAGGCAGACTTAAAAGAGCAGAAGCGGCTTTCTAAATGTGCAGGGACACATGTCCATTGTCTGCAGTCATTGTCAGAGCATTAGCTCCCAGCTTTAGACCTATTGCCCCTAACTGTTGTTGTTCGGTGCCTCACCCATTTCCTCCTTCTTCCATTTTTGCTTGGCCAGGTAGCCATTCTTTTTTGTGCAGTGTGATCCCTGTGAGCTCACAGAAGTTGGGGGGGGGGGATCAAAATGCATGCACAGCTCAGTTTTTGACTCCTTATGCATACATGAGAGAATGATTTTCCAGAGTTCTGTGGGGAAAACCCTGGATGAAGGTAACCTCCATCTTTACTCCTAGGTGTTTGGAAAAAACGACCTGTGGTTCTGGATCATCTTCTCCGCAATCCATATCTTGGCATCTCTAGCCCTTAGCACCCAGATCTACTACATGGGTCGTTTCAAGATAGGTGAGTCACCTGTTGCTCTACACTAACACACTAATTAACTTACCTCAAGAAAGCATTGTCTTCGCTCACCCTAAATGGAAGTGTTGCTGGTCATCATGAACACGTGCTTTGAATTCTGGGTATTTTATAACGTCCTCTCCTGTGTAGGATCACAATGAGCTATTGCCACTGTTCTGATTCCAACTGAGAAACTAAGGTGGTCATACTCAGACTTGAGGCAGACCCCCAGCCCCAAGACCCAGTGCTTTATAACCCACAGACTTTAAAATTTTTTTTTTTCAACGTTTATTTATTTTTGGGACAGAGAGAGACAGAGCATGAACGGGGGAGGGGCAGAGAGAGAGGGAGACACAGAACCGGAAACAGGCTCCAGGCTCCGAGCCATCAGCCCAGAGCCTGACGCGGGGCTCGAACTCCCAGACCGCGAGATCGTGACCTGGCTGAAGTCGGACGCTCAACCGACTGCGCCACCCAGGCACCCCTATAACCCACAGACTTTGAAAGTGTGTTTGAAGAATGGTTGGTCAGCACTCCACTCATTCCACCTAGAGGAATAGCTTTCAGACTGTAACATTTAAAACGAGCATTTCTCTAAGTAGCCTACATGGTTATCAAGAATGAATTTTATATTGTTTTCAAATCCTGGAACTGGAGCGTTTTGAGACTTAGGAATCATAACAGGTGGGACATCTGCTGAACTACCCGACAATGTGAACGTATCACATTAGAGCACTGCATGCTCCATGGGACCAGCTTCTGCCCTGCTGCTGTCAGCATGCACGGGAACAGATAGATTGAAGTCACGTTAGAGCATTTAAATATCCCCAGGCCGTTTAAGGTCCAGGAAGCCACACTTAAATATTCTTTTGTATATTTCAAGAAAAATAATTGTGTATAAGCATAGGCTGAACCCTCGTATTTGCAGAGCCCAAAGCAAGAGTGTAAATAAAAGCCCACTAAAAAAAAATTTAAGTTGTAAAGCAGACTTAAAAATCTATTAAATACGTGGATAGAAGGAAGGGAGGGAGGAAGGCAGGGAAGCAGGCCAACAAACTGATAAATATATATGCCTTCATTACAACCTAGAAGGTCCAGGTTCAAATTTAAAATTGTCATCTCCTCAGAAGGACACTCCAGAACATAACTGTATCGGAGAGCTGGTCCCCAGCCCCTGCCCCTCTCTTCTTCCCACGCTGGCTCTGTCCTGCATCTTAAGGGGTCTCACAAGTATGTACATGGATATTCTTGCCCAGCATTCAGCTGGCCCCTCCTTGCCCCTAGAAGTGCCCGCTCCAGGGGTACCATCTGTCCTCAGGAAGCTAGACTAAGGAAGGGGGCTATCAGGTTCTGCGAGGGGACTCAGGTCCATCTGGGCGGGGAATTCTGGGGTCTGGGAATTCAGAACGTGGCCTAGAAGGAGTATTCACTTGCCCGGCAGACCCCTTACTCACTAGGGAATGAGGGCCTTTAAAATACAGCCAGGTCTAAGAGTGATTCTACATAACCAAGTAACTTTCAGATTAGAAAGCTGAATAAAACAATTTCTCATTTTGGCAGCTTAGTTTTCCCCTGTGGCACAGTCAGTAGATTTGCCCGTGGCAATAACAGAGCCAATGTACCTCCAAATCGCCCAGTGGAAGCATCATTAAATGGTTGTGCAGAGCATTTGGCTTGATGCTCTGGTCATGCCCCATCCTCCAGATTCAAAGGTGAGTGAAGGCATACAAAGTCAACTTTGAAAAGGAAAATAATTTGGAGCATGGTTGTTCTGGTTGCTCCCTGAGTTGGAAAAATAAACTTGAATACAGATGTATTCAATACATCTGAATACAGTGTGACCATTAATAATACATACAGGAACTTTTAATATATCTATACCACTTTTGCCCCATACAATTTTGCAATACCGTATTGGTTTACCTTCTGAAAAAGGAGAGATGTAAGTAGCATATTATGACCATGTAATAGTCTGTAGGGTCTCAACAGGAAAAAGATGTCACACAGAAAGATGAAGGTTTTAGTCACAAAGGGACTGTTCATAACACAAGGTCAAGGTAGAGGAGAATGAACGTGGTAGTCTGGCAACCTGGGGTAAGTAGCAGAGAAACTCTCATATCCATTAGTCCAAAGGACAGGAAGGAAGTAGTTACCAAAATGTGGAAGGAGAGGAAGTCACCCTGAAAGACACGGCCAGTCTAAGGCAACCTCACAGGGAGGGCAGAAGGAGGATAAGTACTCTGAGCTCCCTTTTCTTCCTGTGTCCCTCCAGTCTCCTACTGGGGCTTCCCATTGTCCAAATCCATGGAGAGTGAGCAAATCCACTTACGTGGTCCTACAGTCAGGCTCGTGGGCCTGGTGCAGGACAGAGATGTGGCAAATGGGTCTGCAAGGGTAAATGGAAGACAGCCAGTGCATAGCACTACTGAGTATTTTCAATTTCTCTACCCACCTCTTCCCGAGGTGGTCACAGACTTACCAGAGTCCAAAGGAAAATGTCCTGTTCTATGGTGACAATGATTGCATCTAAATTTAGTCCAAAGGCAGGAAGCTGAGTTAGCGGACAGTGGTTCAGCCAACACCAGCCTCTCCGCCCATTTCATAAGCTGCCTTTGCTTTCTGCAATGACATACCTTCTCCGTGGCCCTCAGGCCGCACCTGCAAATGAACGTGGATACAGGAAAGGCAGCAGCAATGGGGCAGAGCATCTCCTAAGGAGGACAGAAAACCATAGAGCCACTTGCCCAGATCATGACTCTGCTACCAGAGCCCAAGGAAAGGATGGCAGGGATCACTTGTGAGAGAGAATGGATTGCAAAATGCAAGTGGTGCATAAAGGAGATAGGGAGAGACAGACTCTGATTCACTCTTTGAAGAAGAGGAAACGTCTGAACGTTTGAGACAGGCAGGAAGTTTCTGTGTTCTTTATGATGAGCAAACATTACTTTTTTTAATTGGAAAATAAAACTAAAGTCATCGTTTTGAGAGAAAAATAAAATGACCAGTAGTTTACCTGTTTGGCTACCTTCTTATATCATTTTCTTTTCTCATTTATTCCCTGCTTCCCACCGATTCAGATGTGTCTGACACAGGTAATGTTCAGCCACCCTTCCCAGGGCTCTAGATTGGTTTCTTAACACAACGACCTGCGTGACTGTCTGCCAGCCTGGCTCTCTGAACACCCCTTCCAGGTTGGGCAGGATCAGCTTATGGGGAGGGGGCCAGAGAGAGGCTCAGAGGAAAGGATACACTCCAGCCCAGCCTGCCCTGCACGTCTTCTGGACTGTTGCATGGACCCATCCCATCCCCTCCCTCCCTCAGTATATCTGGTCTAGTGAAGTCTGGTGAAATTGACCCCAAGGGTAAATGTGAGGAGGGATGGCATTCACAACACAGCTGGGGTCCCCCCTGGTTGAAATGCTTGCTTTGAGCAGACCTCAGCCTTGCCTGTGATGTCTACAAGTGTAGACTGTTCACAGAAAGACAGCTCCACCTGTGACCCTCACTCTGTTCATAGAACAATTGTAACACACACATGTGCTGTGTTTCATTCTATGCTTTTGAAGGATCGCATTTGAAAATTCTTCCCGATCTTTTGCTCTCCATCGTAACTTGCATTCTTTTGATTACTGTTGCAGTACAAGTTTAGACTCTCTGAATGTGCTCCATAGACTTCAGTGTCCCTTGGCTCAATTCTTACTGACTTACAACCACATGGAGAAATACAGATTCGAATTTTTACAGGCTAAGATTTCCCATCCTCTAGAGAGAGCAGATGTTTTAAGGTACCTGGAGGGGCCCCATAACATCTCTGCTATAAAGGAAACACCTCTGCACTAAACTGTACACAAAGGGGAACTTAGCTGATGGAGACGATAGAGGCGCTGGCCAGCCACTCAAATTATTTGTGAGCATTTGTCACATGGGTCCGCCTCACTTGCCTTTTTCTGCAGTATGATGCCTGGATACAGCACACTTTACAAGACAGCACAGGCATGTACAGGCACAATTTTTTTTAATTTTAATTTTTTAAACGTTTTTTCATTTTTGAGAGAGAGAGGGAGAGGGACAGAGAGAGAGGGGAACAGAGGATCCAAAGTGGGCCCTGCACTGACAGCAGCAAGCCTGACGCAGGGCTCAAACTCACAAACCGTGAGGTCATGACCTGAGCCAAATTTGGATATTTAACTGACTGAGCCACCGGGGCGCCCCACAGGCACCATTTTTTAAAGCAAACATCTGTTTCTGACCTAATAAGTACAAAGCACCATTTTTATAAGGTGAAGACGACATCATCTTGGCCCTAAAATTTTGGGCCGTATGGGAGTATTCTGTAGTATCTCTGACTAAGCCTTACTATGCAATTGTGTCATCGGCAGATATGGGGATTTTCCGAAGGGCCGCTATGGTGTTCTACACAGACTTCGTCCAGCAGTGCAGCCGGCCTCTGTATATGGTACGTGCGTGCTCCTGTGTGCCTTGGCCTTGTCCCAGAGAGAAGGGGAACAGTATGAGGGGCAGGCTCGGGGCAGACACTCAGGTTCCCTAAATCAAGAAGGCCAGATGGCCCAGGGTGGCTGAGCTCCAAGTAGGGGGAAGAAGCATGTTCCTTACTCTTCTTCTTGCTCATAAAAAACAGACTGGGATAGATCCATTTTTATACATGAAATACTGCTAGTGTTTAAAGAAGAAATCTGTGTATACATACAAAACTACGGAATAGTGACAGTTGCTATGGGGAAGGATCAAGGCAGGTGTCATCCAAAGAGGTATGATTATTTCACTTGTGGAAGTGCAAAGGGCACTCACTGGATAATTATACCATGACAGCAGGCATAAACCAGGCTTGTCCCAAGAAAACTGGGCATCTGTCACTCCAGTTGCTTTCATCAAGAACTGAACACTTTCAGGGGCACCTCGGTGGCTCAGTCAGTTAAGCATCCGACTTCAACTCAGGTCATGATCTCACAGTTCACAAGTTTGAGCCCCGCGTCGGGCTCTGGGCTGACAGCTCAGGGCCTGGAGCCTGCTCCGGATTCTGTGTCTCCCTCTCTCTCTGCCCCTCCCCCGTTCATGCTCTGTCTCTCTCTTTCTCAAAAATAAATAAACATTAAAAACTTTTTTTAAAAAAGAACTTAACACGTGCCACACTATACACTGGTTTGATTTGTGTACATTGTTTGATTTTTACAGTAAGCAAGGATATTTTCTTCAAAATTGTGGTTATTACTTACTGGTTGAAATGCAAGTTCTAAAAATTCTCCATCACTGTTTTCAGTATATCATACATTTCTACACTAGGCAGAAGGATTGGGACCCTGGTCCCAGCTATATCTTGGCTCTCTGGCCAGTGAGTGACCTTAGGAAGGCCGCATACGTGCTGGGAGCCATTACCCCAACCTTTCCACCATGCTGTGGTCAGAATTCCTGATACTGTTTGGGCCTGACACACAGGAGTTCACGAAGTACCTGCTAATAATTTATGATCAAATAGTTTACGATCATATTGACATAAAGGAATATGAGAATGTTTTCACCCTCTAGAACTTGGGCAGGAACTCTATTGAGGGGACTGAGGCTGAAGGGTTTTATTTACATGAGAACTTAAAACCCAGTAGGGCTGGGGCTCCTGGGTGGCTCAGTTGGTTAAGCATCCGACTTTGGCTCAGGTCATGATCTCGCGGTTTGTGGGTTTGAGCCCCATGTTGGGCTCTGTGCTGATAGCTCAGAGCATGGAGCCTGCTTCAGATTTTTTATGTCTCCCTCTCTCTGCCCCTCCCCTGCTTGTGCATATGTTCTCTCTCTCCCTCTCTCTCTCTCTAAGAATAAATAAATATTAAAAAAAAAAACCAGTAGGACCTGTGAGTATTTTGAGAGTTAAGCCTGCCTTAGCTGTGAGCCATGAGGAGCAATTAATGTTTTGTTTGTTTGTTTACTCACATTATGTGATGCAGACTGTCTTTTTTTCTAGCAGACTATTTTTCTCTTATTTTTTTTTAATGTTTATTTTTGAGAGAAAGAGAGAGAGAGAGACGGAGTGTGAGCAGAGGAGGGGCAGAGAAAGAGGGAGACACAGAATTGGAAGCAGGCTCCAGGCTGTCAGCACAGAGCCCGATGCAGGGCTTGAACCCACGAACCGTGACATCATGACCTGAGCCAAAGTCGGATGCTTACCCAACTGAGCCACCCAGGCGCCCCAGAGCTAATTTTTTTAAAGGAAGATATTTCCTCCAAGCTAGGTGGATCACCCACAAAGACAGAGAATCAGCACAGAGAATCCCATGAGGACATGCAAATTAAAGTACAATCAGATGCCACCTAAAAGTTTTACACTGTATGCAAAGAAGCAGGGCCAGGTTGTGAATTAATCTCTATCAGAGGAACTTTCCTTTGAGATGGACCTCTCCTAGTTCACCCACCACCAATATCTTTAGTGTTAAGCCTGTGTGTTTAGAGACCGGGAGCCTGAGCGTTGCAGGACCTCCTTGGAGTCAGAGTAACGGAGAGCAAACGGGAGCCAAACGGGTGAGGCCCAAGAGCCGCCTTGTGGCTCGCTAAGTAACGGCGCAGGGAAACAGTGCTGGATTACATTACAGCAACGGCAGAATCCTTTTCACTACCGAGTAATCTGCACACACCACCAACTTCCTCAAGAAGTGGGGCCGCGGTGCCCAGCTACCCTACACATTGGTGGGGGAAACAGTAAGAGTCCTGCTTTACTCACCGTGTTTCCTTTAACAGACACAAAGTCACATCCGTTCACAGACCGAGGCCTCGCCATTTCTTCCCATAGGAGATCAGTGTCCGCCTGCAGGCACAGCTCTCTTAGAACCATGGAAACTCTTTCACCAGGCAATTGTTTCCCCATAATTGGTGCTGCCCCTACAAGTAGGTCAAAAGAAAAGAGATGTGTGCAGTCTCTCATCTGATGTTTTCTTTCCAGGATAGAATGGTGTTGCTCATCGTGGGGAATCTGGTTAACTGGTCCTTGTAAGTAGTCTTAGGAAGACACGTTTTTCTCTTTATTGATGTCTGTAACACGGCGGTTTAGCTTTCCTTGGCTGTCATTTATATAAAGAAATGTGAAATTAAGGAGCGTGTAGGACTGTGCTTGCCCTAGGGACTTGGAAGAAAGGTATTTTTCCTCCACAAAGAACACACTAGGAAGCCTTGTGTGCCAACGGTGGTCTCTTTTAAAGTGCTGCGTTCAGCACCTTGATGCATTGAGCTCATTTGCGCCACAAGACCAACATCAAATCTGTTATCTACATGGATAAACTATGTAGATAGTTAGATGCTAGAGATTATTCTAAAAGTTACAAACATGAAGCATAGTTTTAAAGTCTTGTAGATCTTTCCATCAAGGCTACCCAGTAGACATTTCCCTTTCTTACTAAATGTGTGTGTGTTTGCGTGTGTGCATGAGCGTGTGTGTGTACAAGTCTCTATCCTCTTTATTTCTTACCCTATGGTTCTCAATCTTCCTACTGCACCAATATCCCTTTTCTTCTTTTCCCTCATTATTACCTGGGCTTTTTTCCCTCCGATGGCTTCAAAATAGAACAGTACAACAGACCTATATTTTTGTTATCTGTAACTATTTTATACAACCTATTCTCAACTTTAAAATGTAAGTGAGCTGTTTCATTAGTCTACCCCAAGTCAGTAAGTTTAGTTGCTTTTATTAGTGGTTCTTAGCTGATATGCTAAAAAGGTCAGTGACCTTTGATAGAAAGATGACTCCTGCCCCCCTTTAAGACATGAAAGGATTGAAAACAGAGGCATACCTTCGGGTAAAGCCAGAATCTGGTTTTGAGAATTCAAATCTTACTTGGGGCATATGCTTGTGGAAGAGATTTCCCATTATGTTGTCACCCAGGGATTACCTCGGGGTAAGCGCCATGCCTGTGAAGGACCCCTCCTTGATGTACAGACATGTCGAGATGGGTGATTCTTGGCAGTGGTCACCTGTGGCACTCGTCTTGACCTCTCTTTTAGGGAGGACCCCACAGTCCTGATGACTCTGTAAGATAGGGTGCAGGGTGCTCGTGGGAGAAAAGGGACCAGCCCCTTGGTAATGAGCACCTGATAACTATGTCCCCAGTGCTCACAAACACCTGGCTTGTCCCCACCCCTCCCATGACCAAAACCAAACCCACGATCTGCTCACAAGACAAGGTAAATGGCCTCTCTTTTCTTACACAGGCGCTCTTTGGGCAGCAAGTTCTGCAGAGATGAATGGGGTGTGACAACACACCGGCACTATGGGAACCTGGTGGAGGGTTGGCTTCCTCTTTTTTTCTCCAGCCTCAGTTTCCCATGGACACTACAAGACATGGAGTGACTTCATGTGAATCTTGAATGTTATTTTAAAAGAAATTTGGGGGAAAAAAGCAGTGCTAAACCCCAACCAAACTAAACTTCAGTATTAATGTAAAAACCATAGGGGAGCCCGAGTGGCTCAGTCGGTTGAGCTTCCAACTCTAGATTTCAGCTCAGGTCACGATCTCATGGTCAAGGGATCAAGCCCCGAGTCCAGTTCCATGCTGGATGTGGGGCCTGCTCGGGATTCTGTCACTCTCCCTCTCTCTCTGCCCCTCCCCTGCTCATGCTCTCTCTCTCTCTCTCTCTCTCTCTCTCTCTCTCAAAAATAAACATTTTTAAATAAATAAATAAATAATAAAAATCATAGACAGTTTTTTGTTGATAATGTGTGGCAAGCCAATTTTGAGATAATTCTATTTCTAGTAATCTAGTCTAATGAATTAATCTTAAATGCAAAAAAAGAGAAAAGCATAATACGTCTGAAGGTAGTGATTTATTCATTGCACTGTTCTTTGTAATGAAAAGCCGCAAGGCAAAAGGAAAACTATTTCAACTAGAAAGAGGATTGTGGTACATCCACTTATGGGAACCTTACAATCATCAAAAATGCCAGGTCTGAAGGAGGTGTTGTAATTTACTTGCATTAGAGGTTTTTTTTTTTTTAACTCCCTTCCTCCCCAAAGTGGAGGTGAAAAAGCCAACAATGTTACAAACCCAGCTTGATGCCTACATACTAATCCCTCCCTGCACCCAGCGCCCTCTTTGGACTGATCTATCGACCCCGGGACTTCGCTTCCTACATGCTGGGGATCTTCATCTGTAACCTGCTGCTCTACCTGGCCTTTTACATCATCATGAAGGTGAGAGTGGGCACCGGGAGCCGCCCGCCCTGGGTCCGAAAAGGCCGCGAGCTGCATCTGCTTTCCATCCACAGCTCCGCAGCTCGGAGAAGCTCCTCCCCATCCCGCTCTTCTGCATCGTGGCCACGGCTGTGGTGTGGGCCTCCGCTCTGTACTTTTTCTTCCAGAATCTCAGCAGCTGGGAGGTAAGAGGGCAGTTTTCTTTTCAGAGGAAATGTTCTCCCTCCCTCTTGCCTTTTTGATCTTCCTACTTCCCTCTCCGTGTGCTTGTTGCTGTTTGTCTTTGAAATGAAAGTTTTCTCTAAAAGGGATGGTGTTTAATGTCCACACATAAATGGCATGCTGTCGTCATTGTCAGAGTAGGCCTCGTCAAGGTGTGAGCCCTCCAAACAGGGCAGATTGGATGCTCATTATGTGTTGTATTATGACTCTCTTGCCCATGGATATTTAACGTGTGCCAAACCTTTATTACTGTATCTTCTCATAATCCTATCCATAAACAAATACCCAGCTGCAGGTGTTTATAAATCCATTGCATAGATGGGAAAACTGAGGCCTAGGAAATAAGTGATACATTGAGTAGCAGAAAGGAAGCCTCAGCTCTCCATCACAATCAATTTTAGAACATTTGTTATCACTCCAGAAAGAAAGCCTGCCCGCTAGGAGTCGCTCTCCGTTTCTCCCTAAACCACCAGCCATAGGCAACCACTAATCTATCTTTGGTCTCTATAGATCTGCCTGTTCTGGACATTTCATACACATGGAATCATACCATATGTGATCTTGAAGTCTAGCTTATCCATTCATCCATGTGGTAGCATATATTGGTACTTCATGTCTTTTTAACTGCTGAATAATTTTCTATCATATGCATGCAGCACATTTTACCTATCATCAGTTGAGGGACATTTAGATGGTTTCCACTCTTTGGCTCTTATGAGTGTGGCCGCTGTGAACATTGTGTACAAGTTTTCGTGTGGACTAATGTTTTCTTGGAAGCTAACTTTTTGAGCCGGGCATCCAATAGCATTTTTGTGGCTTTCTGGACGCTCAGCCCTCTAAACAGTTGAACTGTAGGAGTGCTCACCCACATTCTGCCTCACCTTCCTCCAGGGAACCCCAGCCGAATCCCGGGAGAAGAACCGGGAGTGTATCCTGCTCGATTTCTTTGATGACCATGACATCTGGCACTTCCTCTCTGCCACAGCCCTGTTTTTCTCATTCTTGGTGAGTTTATAATACCTGTCTGTCAATTTCTTCTCTCTTCACATCCTGTACTTTCTTCCCCTGCGTTCCTTACTTTTTTGTATTTCTAACTTCTCTTTCTAATTCCTCACTATAATTTAATATACAGATCCTTTTATATCTTTTTTCACATTATATCCTTCAGTTAGATCTTTATTTTCATTTTCCTTTTACTCTCCAATATTTCAAGATACAGAGTTAACAAAATGATTTTCCTTAAATGGCACAACATTTGGACTGAATCGGTTATTAGAACTCACATGCCCAGAATCGCCCCAGGAATCACTTCTGGCACTCATTCAAATTTCAGTAACATTAGATTCTTCCTTCTTGTGCTCACATTCCTCCTCCTCTTCCAGTCTCACTGAATATCCCACAAATATTTTACAAGTTTCTGGAGCGGCTGGGGATAGCAGCCAGGTCTCTTGCTTCTAACCAGTCTGTCCCAGATCTCTCCTGTAATCCTTCCATTTCTTGTGGCCCAAACACCTTTCCAGAAGCTATGCATACTCTAACAATGGATGATCACTGCTGGCTTCCTTTCATCTTAATTTAGACTTTTCCAAATTAAAAGTCCGCTGTGCCTGTGCACAGGTAGCAAGCAACAACACCGGGAGACCTGTGCTCCCAGCACTGCTCACGGTGAGCGGGCTCTGCCTCCACACGGCCTCGAGAGTGGAGCGGGGCTGCCCCCTCGTGGCCATCTGGGGAAGTTCAACAATCTGCATAAACCTCACTCCTCGTGACGTGTAATTTTGATGAACAACACCTTCATGAGACAGACAGAGACCACAAAAGTGGAGTGAAAGTTTCCATGTGAAGAGAGTGGTGGCAGAGGGAACTGAAAATGGAGGCGGAGTATACATTGCTTGTATAGCAATACTCTATGCAACAAGATTTCCTTTCCTCTAGATCTTGGGCCACACGTCCCCTTTTAAGTAATGACTTCCCTGGCCACCCCATCAGCACTTTTTTTCAACCTTTCCCTACCCCATACTTCCTATACTCCCTCCATAGTTTAATTTTTGTTACTATTTCATTACATATTATTATCTAGTACACTGGACTTTGCACACATCACTAACATGCTGTATTGTCCCCATTTGCTTCATGTCTGAAGCTCTCTCAAATGTAAGCTCCAGGAAGGTAGGGAGTTTTGTCTCTGGCATCTAGAATAGCACATAATAGGCCCTTGGTACACATCGGAATTAATAGATGAACTAGGTGATCATAATTGCCCGTGTAGAGCACAGCACTGCAGACAGCCACAGAGGACAGGAAGGCGCTTGTGCTGTCAACCCAGGTGAGTCTCAGAGAGGAAGCTGGGCTTACTGTGGCTGTGACCGTGCACTGCTTTCATTCCTCCGCCCCTCCCATTCCAGGTTTTGTTAACCCTGGATGATGACCTGGACGTGGTTCGGAGGGACCAGATCCCTGTCTTCTGAGCCTCCAGCACTAAGAAAGGGAGGGGGAGCAATCGATCTCGGTGCTGTTTCATGAAAATACAGGGACCGCAGCAAAGTCACCACTGCCAAATGCTCCACTCACCTCATCAGGTCAACTTGGTGTGCGCTCACACAGGAAGGACAGGGGCAGGAGGGAGATTCAAGCCTGCAAGAAGGGAGGCGGAGGGGAAGCCACGGGTCTGGACAGAGGCAATCCCTGAAGAGTCTAGAGACACCCATCCCCTTGTGTTTGCAGCCCTGAGCTAAACGTGGACGCAAGCTGCATCCAAGTCAACTCTGTCTTGGGACCCCTCCCGCCCTCCTCTGAGACTCGACGGCAAGGACAGAGTGATGCTGCCCTCTTCTGTCCAGCTGCCTTCAGGCCCGGAGAGGCCAGCAGCTCAGATCTCCTGCCCAGACACTTTTTAGATGGGCCCCCTTCGCACCCCCACGATATCTGCTGCTTGACACATCCCAGAGCACCAGCTCGCTTCTCCAGAGTCCAGGGGTGATACAGCTCCTCAGAGTCTGGTGGAGGGCTGAACCCACGCCCTAGGGCTTAGTAGGACCAGCTAGTCACCTCCTTGGAAGGAACGCTGTATGCGTCCCCCAGGTTCCTGACCCCATTAGAAGGGCTCTGGATTGGGCTTTGTCACGCACTTGTCCTAACAGGTAACTGTTCCCAGGACCAAGGCTTGGGTGCTCACCTACTTGTTAGTGTCTTCATGCCACCGCTGTGTGTTGACCCCACAACTCAGGCTCTACTTTCCTGGGTTAGGCCCCGGCGTTCTCTCACCAGCTCCAAAAACTCTTCTAGCAGCAGAAGGAGTGAGAGAAATGACCGACAGGGCTAAGAGACTGGTGACATCAGCCTCCAGCAAACAGACCTCACCCTAAGGAAGTGGGTGCCTAGAGCACATGCAGCAAAGCTGAAATTGCCTCCTCGAGCGTCCAATTCTAACAGCTCAATTCTGTGCCCATGTCACCTGTGGGGAATAAATAATTGTTCAAACCAGGGATGCTGCATTGGGGGTCCTCTGCCACCGACCAAGCCCCTTACCTGTCACTTGAGGCAGGTTAGGGCCTCCAGATTTTCTCTCTGAAGTTCTCTAGAAGTAACTCTCAGGATGAACACATTTTACTCATCCTCTTGAGTTGCAGAGAGCAAGCTGATTGAGGATTGCTTCTTGGTTGCACCGCATTCTCATTCTCTCGCCAGTAAGGTGCTGCAAAGCCCACTTCACTGCCACCGTCTGACATCTCTGCCCCTGCCACGCCCCATTTGGACCACGCACCCATGGTACCTGGAGGAAGATGTAATCAGAAAAGAGACATATGAATGTGCACCCTATATATATTTGCCTGTGAAGTTGAAGTCACCTGTCACCTCTGCTTTCCTGATCGTTCATTAGGGAAATGGATCAGGCGTCCTTTTTGTTTAAAAAAGTATTACTCTGTCTCTAAAATATTTGTATAATGTTCAAAGTCACATTGCAGAAGTTTCAATAGCAAATTTTCCCGGATTTTAAAAACACAAAGATGCTTTTAATGAAACTTTTTGTGATTTTCTTTTCTAAAATGTCCCCAAACTTATCATTGCTTTTCTACTATTCTTCCTTCCTTAAAAACTGTTGACTTCCATAGGCTATATAAAGGCCACCTATAAAAATAGTTGTGATAGTCTAACATCTAAAACAAATTTTGAATCCATATAATAATGGCTCATTTGACCTAATTCTTTTATTTTAATGCACTGATGGCTTCAATTAAAAAAAAAAAAGGTGCACTAAGGAAATGTGGACAAAGTCTATTCAAGTGGCCCTGTGGCCCAAAGTGAATAAATTGTGAGATGCGTTACCTGGTCCAGCAGCTTGTTTGGAAATGTATCTGTGGGAATGGGGAGGGGGCTCTGAACTGTGTTGTGCTGCGGTGTTCTTGACCGTTTATTCCCATCATGTCTATATTATGCTGTAAACTCACACACTGTGGTCAGTTCCCTTCTCTGCAGCAGGACTAAAAACCCAGACCAAGCCTGCTCCTACAACTATCAATTCTAAATGTAGTTGTTTCTACTTCTGTCTACAGTACGAATGTCATGGCTGGAGGACATGAGAAAGTTGTCCGACTGCATCCGTGGTTGATAGGAATGCCGGGGTGGAGGGGGGCAGCCTCCCAGCTGAATGGTCCCTTGTCCCTGTGTAGAACAATGCCCACGCAACTTTTGTCTGTGCTCGTGGACTTCGCTCTTTAAAGAGAAGGGAAGATTAATCTGAAAGCCAAGTTCAGCCAGAGGGTAACCGGAGAAAACAGCCACTGTGAAGAGGTTTTTGGCAGACGAGGCACAGAGGTAATAGGAGTAGGTCAGCTGGAGCAGGACCGAGATGTGGCAGCCAGGGGAGCAAAGCTGTGCGCATAAAAAAATGACCTCTTCACACCTCTGACGAATGCTGGAGAGGCAAGTCCACCTGTTGATGTTGGATGGTTGAGGGATTAGCCTGATTTTATTTTAGCAGCAGGAGAAGCCAGTGGAAAACCAGAGTCTATCTGGGGAAGGGACTTTCCATGACAGAAGGAGATCACCAAGCCAGCTCCTGGTGCAAAGAAAGTGGCAGCTGCTTCCTTTGTAGCTCTGAGCAGCCACCAGAATGTTCTGTGAGATCACAAAATGCCTGTGTCGGTAAATCAAATAACATCCAAAATGTTTCTCATTCTGGGAGATAGTCTCTCTGTGTAAAACTTAGGGGAAAGGGAGAAACAGAGATAAACATTATTCACACAAGGAACAGTGGAGCCTGGAAAGATTCTTGAGTCAGATTTTCATCCAAGTATGTTCACGTGCTCACTGTGTGACCTCAGGCAAGTTGCTGGAACACTCTGATCCTTGCCTAACACATCCACTTGACAGTACATTAGGGGACAAAAGTAGAGACGTGCAGAGCACCAGGAGTAGTGCCAAGACAGAGAAGATTGTCACCCCGTCCCTCTTGAATCCCATGGGGGGGCAGGGCAAGAACGGGTCTCTCCACTGGGCTGGCATCTCTCTCCCCTAGAGGCTGTCCATTGAAATCTGCTGTCCTGTTTCCTGTCCTCAGTTCCAGGAGGCCCTGAAGGGTTTGGGAGGCCTCTTCACCTTCAAAGATACTGCCCAGAGTTCTCAAACCTCCTAGTCCCAGTGTCCCCCCACCCACCCCACCCTTTATGGCTGCATGTCACTGCCTCTGGCCCTTAATACTCTTACCCCAACCCAGATGAAAAATCACTACCAAATCCAGGGCCAAGTGGAAAATCTGGCTGTGTAGGTCACACCTCATTACCGCCATCTCTGTCCTGGGAATCTCAAAGAAAACCTGAATTTTCTCCCTTTCTCGAGTAGCTGTTACTACTGTGGTTCAGCAAAAGCCACGGCAAATGTTTCCCCACCCCTCCCTACCCCCTCCCAAATGTTCTGTAGAGAAAGCCTGGATGTTCAGCCTGCATGAAGATGGGAAACAAATCTGGCTCCAGAAAGAAGCAGGGGAATGTCCCTCAGGTTTTGAAATGACTAATATCCCTGGTGAAACTAAGGAAAGGCATTGTGAGTAAAGATACAATCTGCCTCTGCCTGAAGCAATGGAAAACCCTTGATTCTGCCCAGTTTATGGTAGGTGTTTTTGTTGTTGTTTTTAACGCTGTTTGGTGGAGACAACATGTATTGTGTCACTAGGTTTGAACGTCTCCTCAATATTAAAGCACCATTGTCAAGGAGGTAAAGTGCCTGTCAAATCTTCGGCCTTAACACACATGAATTCAAAAAAAGTTTCACAGGAGTCAAAGATCAGCCTTCACCATGAGTTTCTAAAAGGCCATAGTAATAGTTTTGCTTGGATGGGACTCTTCTGTAAGAAGAGACCCCTGCTCTATGAACTCCAAGGCAGGACTTATTACACTTTTCCTTGACGTGTGGTCTGGCTATTCTCATTGAAACACAAAGAAGGCTAAGTGGTTACCATTATTCACACAGAATTCCCCTTTACTCCCCAATCTTAAGGAAATGGACTCTGCCCTCTTCCTAAATATCCCTGGATTAGGAGATTTCATAACTTTTCCTGAACTTCAAATTTTAAAAAAATTCCTTGGCTCTATCCTACATCCTTTTCATTGCCTTAGAGTTTCTGTCATCTCGGGATTTACCCATTTCTCTGGAGATGAACAATAATTAACCACCATATTTTAACATAGAATGGCCTTGAAGTCATATCACATCTCAGTCAAGGGCTAAATAAAGTCTAGGTGTTTTATCTCTTGTTCAGCAGTATAGTTTTGATTTAGCAAATAAGAGATTGAAACAGTGAAAGATGTCCAAGTCACGACAAGAGAAGACTGACACCCAATCGTAGTATGGCTTTCTTCTGGCCTCCTCATCTACCCTATGTTCTAACATTCTTCTTGAATTAGGACTCTAAGTCATTTAAACAGAAGATAATCCAAAATAATTCAGAGGATGTCTATTTTACAGGGCTATAGCATTGCCATCACAGAAAAGAGCTGATTTGCACTTTATGATTTTTATTATGTCACCTATCCGAGCCTTTCATAAGGTTCAGTACCCGGTACAAGGCAGGTCCCTTCGAGGAAGAGCACAAATTCAGACCTGAGGTTGACTCTGCTTCTCTCTCAACCTAGGATACTTGATAAAGTAACCTACTTTTTTAGGGGATCCATTTCTCTTTTAACCTCTCCTTCCTTACCACTTCTCTGTCCATTTACACAGAATCAGAAATACGGCTTCTGCTAATGGTTAATCAAGAAATATTTGGGCCAGGCTCCACAAGGAGCAGGACCCAGCAATGCACAAAAGGCACACAATTTCTTCCGTCACAGGATCTGTGGTCCAAAAAGGAAGATGGACATGAAGCACATCATCATGATTTGTTCATTTTAAGTGGGCAAAGAGCTCCAAGAAGAGAGTGGCCTTCCGAGAATCTTATCATTAGGCGCAGAGCAGAAAAAAGTCCAAATAA